TACTTTGTGGCTGTGCATTCTCTCTCTCTCTCTCTCTCTCTCTCTCTCTCTCTCTCTCTCTCTCTCTCTGTCTCTCTCTCTCTGTCTCTCTCTCTCTCTCTGTCTCTCTGTCTCTGTCTCTCTCTCTCTCTCTGTCTCTGTGTGTGTGTGTGTGTGTGTGTGTGTGTGTGTTTAGGACAGAAACTATGAAACTGGGCAAAGCTGATGTTGAGAGGTGAGCCAGGGGCTGGGCAAGCTGTAGGAAGTAGAAATAAAGGTGGGTAATTTTGAGACTCTTCTGGAAGAAAAAAGAAGGGACTTATGGGAGGGACATTTGTGCACTTGTAGTAAAGCACCAGGAATATGGTTTCTGTGTCCTCATGTCATCTATGAAAGCCTCTTAGGGTGAGATCCTCACATACTGGACAGAGCTGTGACACCGAGCTTTATGTGAAGTCCAACTTTTGAGCAGCCACTTTTCTCGATACTTCCGGCTTCAGCGGAGGGGCGAGGAAGAGGCTTCCTCTTTGTGTTAGAATCAAGCCTCTGTTAAGACGAGATGCCAGGTTGTTAGCTCTTAGGGGTGCTGGTTCATGTCTGGAACTTGTTTCTCACCTATTCTCATGCTTTTATAATGAATTCCCAGCAGTCATTCCCAAGAGAGATAGTGGGAATGAATGATCAGTTAGAGGTGTGTATCTGAGTGGAAATATAACATGGTGGTTTTATTTTATTTTTGTCTGTGCAGACCTGTTCAGATCCAAAATCTAAGCCACCTTTCTTACTGGAAAAGTCCATGGAATCAAGTCTCAAGTACATCAACAAGAAATTTCCCAACATAGATGTCCGAAATAGCACGGTGAGAACTTGGGCCCATTTTCCCCCTTTCTGTGACATTATTCTTGCATGACTCAGATTCTCCACTTTTGCCTGCTTGTCTTCAAGTGTTGCCATCTCTTAGATTTTCTAGGCTCATATATAGGGCTTCAGGTATTGAGGATTGTGAGCTCAGATGGGAGTCTCCTGCGGTGAGCTGGAGCACAGCCCTTGTGAGCCAGGTTCATGAGGACACTGGTCCTTACAGAGAGGCAGCTTCATTAGCCTCACAGGGCACATCTTTTACTGTAGTTCTTGATACCCACACTGTGTTTCTTTACTGCTGGATGCTATGCATCAAATGGCAGTCTTAACTTTTCCCTGTCTTAACGATAGAGTTCTCACAATCTATGCAAAGTATTTTTATATTCTGCTTCTATTCCTATTGATTCATATAGCAAACCTCTTCAGCTGAAAGGAAATTGGAAATCTTTCGGCCAGCCTTCTGCTTATAGTCAGAATCACATGTGGCCATCAATCGAGATAGAGAATTTCTGTGTAGAGACTGGAGAACACTGGCAAGTTTCTGATTCCTCCCCAGCATGTTTTGCCCTTTTAAGAATGATTGGGTAATTAGCTGGAGAGATGGCTCAGTAGTTAAGAATGTTTGAGTAGTACTCCTAGCTTTTAGTTACCTGGATCAATCACTTTTTTTATTTTACATGTTTTGTTTTGTTTGTGTTTCTCTCAGCAACATTTAGGACCAGTACATCGTGAAAAAGCTGAGATAATTAGATTCCTCACCAACTACTACCAGTCATTTGTGGACGTCATGGAATTCCGGGTGAGTCCTTGTAGCCAGTGTTGACATGGGCTTCAGAGGCTGAGCTTCTTAGTAGTTATTCATTTCTGTTGCTTGACTCAAGTTCTTGAAAGAAAAGAGGAGAGAGGTGCTGATATGCAATGATGTTTAAATTGTATTGCTAATTAACTATATATGAAATACCATATTTTTACTTCAAGAGATACATAGGGTAGATGTAGTTGGTGGCACACACCTACAGTCCCAATTCTTAGGAGGTAAAGGCAGGGGAATCAGAAGTTCAAAGTCATCTTCAGCTACATATTGAGTTCTAGGCTAGCCTGGCTTACATGAAACGCTGTTTCAAAAACAACAATAAAACCCAAACTTATGTCAAATAGTATTAATATAGTCACACTAAGTACTTAGAATATTATGCATCAGATATAAAAATTAAATAATTTGGTGATGGATTATGGCTGGCTTCAGTTTACTGAGCCATAGTTTTCCCAGTGTTCTTTTATATTTGTATATGTATGTGTGTTGTGTGTGTGCACTTGCAGGCGTGTTTATGCTGAGGAGTGGGTGTGAAGGTCTGTGGGAGACCATTTTCAGGTTTCCTAGTGGCTTTACCCAGCACGTCTGCATAGAGAGGATGATTAGATCATGGGCCTGAGTGCAGGCGTCTGAGATGGTCTGCACTGGGCTGTGCTGGGGGGAGGTCTTCTGCTCCACCCCTTGGCATTTCTATAAATACCCTAGGGCAGAGACAGTTGGGCCTGTTGGAATAGGTTCCAGGTCCTCTCGAGGCTATCCTGTATTTTCTATCTGTTTCTCCCCACTTTAAATCTTTCTATCTAATATTTCCTGCTGCTTCTACTCAAGAGCAGGGGGAATGTGGGGGTGGTGGGTAGTCCCCCCACAAAGGTCAGAGGACAACTTTCGGAGGTTGGTTCTCCCCCTGCAGGTTTTACTTGTTTCTGCTACTGTGCTTCACATTCCAGGCTTGCTGGCCCATGTGAAGATCCTACCGAGTCTGCTATTGCTGCCTCCTATCTTGCTGCATGAGTGCTGCAATTACAGATGTGTGCCCTTATATCTGTGGGTTCACTGGACTTGTAAGACTAATGCCTTCACCCGCAGGTGTAAACTGTGTGTATGGTGTGTGTATGTGTCGCGGCATGGGTGTGGAGGTCCGAGAACACATTTCAGGAGTTTGTTCTGTTTCCACCTTGTTGAGCCATTTTCCTGGTCCCCTTCACAGTTTTTAGTGTGGTACACATACCATAAAATTTACTACCTTAACTATTTTAAGTATACAAATCAGTGATATTAAATGTCATCATAATACATAACTATCTTTTCATGTTGTAAAATTGACATTCTCCACATTTTAAACAACAGTTCCTCATTTTTTCCGGTCCCTCAGCCCTTGATGGCAATCATTCTATTTCTGTTTTTATGATTTTAAGAATGCTAACTGTTTTTTGTAAGTGGCACCTTTTATCTTTTTGTGACTGGGCTTATTTAACTTAGTAGGATGTGTTAAGGCTCATCTATGTGGTAGAATATTGGAGAATTTCCTCCATTTTAAGACAGAACAATATTCCATCCTGTGGTTATACTCTATTTTGCTTCCCTATTTATCCATCCATGAACATTTGGGTTGCCTTCATGTTTTAGCTGTTGTTACTAATACTGCTATGAATGTAGGTGTTCAATTGCCTTTCAGATCTTGATTTTAATTCTTCTTTGAGATATCCATAAGTGGAACTATTGGATTTTGGTAATTCATTTTTTTAAAATTTAATTTTATTATTATCATGTTTGGGAATATGAGTATGCATGTGTCCTGTGTGCATGGGGGTCAGAGGAAAACTTCAGGAGTTGGTTACTATATTGTTTTCTTTTTTCATAGTGGGTGTACCATTTAATTGACTACCAACAGTACATAAGGGATATATTTTATCAACATTCTGATCAACAGCTGTTTTTGGATAGTGGGTATCAAACCTAAGGTCTCACAAATAGTAGGCAAAGCCCTAACACTCAGCTACACCCTTGTCTCATTGCTGTTGTAATTTGTCTTGCTAATTGGCAATGCTATGTGTCTTTTATTATATTTGTTTGTTTTTAAGCTTTTCAAGACAAGGTTTCTCTGTGTAGCCCTGGCTGTCCTGGAACTCACTCTGTAGACCAGGCTGACCTCAAACTCAGATATCTGTCTGCCTCTGCCTCCCAAGTGCTGGGATTAAAGGTGTGTGCCACCACTACCCAGCTTCTTTTATTGTTTTTATTGGATATTTGTATATCTTCTTTGGAGAAATAGCTTCTTTAAGTTCTTTGTACATTTTTGAATCAGTTTTGTTTAGTTTTTGTTGTGAGTGTTAGGAGATTTGTATATAGGCCACACCTTTTTTACATTAGGATTTCCCCCCATATTTTATTATAAACATAGTAAAACATTTCAAATGTTAGTCTGGCATGGTAATGCACACATTTAACCCTAGCACTTGAAAGGCAGAAGCAGACAGATCTCTGAGTTTGAGGCCAGCCTGGTCTACAGAGTGAAAACCTGTCTAAACCTACTACCTCTGCCCCTGCAAAAGTAAATGTAGTACTGGTTGCTCATCTCTAACCTGAAAATTTGAATTCTGGAATACTCTAACATTGGAAACTTCTTGAGCATTGACATGACTGCTGTAAGTCTGACTATGTGACCAGTTACAGTAAAAATATAAGACCACAAAAAATTGCATAAAGTTATCATTAGGCTATGAATTATTTTTCTATTGTATGATAAGATACCATGACCCAGGCAACATATAGAAGATACTGTTCTAGAGGGAGAATCCCTAATAGCAAAGGAGGATGGCATTGGGGGAAGGAGCAGGAAGCTGAGAGATCACATCTTCGATAATAATCTCATTCAAACCCACATAGGCCATGTATATGAGCTGTGCATGAAACAGATGAATTTTATGTTTAGATTTGGGTTCCATCCCCAAGATGGATGGAACATTCATCCAAGACATTCTATATATACATGTAAACATTTCCAAATCTGAAATATACAAGATATGAGGCACTCTTGGTCCTAAGCATTTTAGATCAGGGATAGTCAGCCTGTATAGTAAATGCTGCTTTCTTCTGGATCTCCTAATTGTTAATATTTTGCCATATTGCTTGTCACTCTTCTGCCCCCGCCCCCACAAACCATTTTACTTATTTGCAGACATCATGACATTTCCTTCCCAAAATATTTTATCATACATCTGCAAAGGACAGGAATATTTCTTACATAATCCTATTACAATTATCCTGCTAAGAAATATAATATTCTACAATATTATTGGCTAATACAGAGCCGATGTTTGCACTCATTTTGGTATAATAATTCTTGCCTTTGTCTTTCATGTCCTGACCTTTTGAAGAGTCCAGGAAAGTTGTTCAGAATATGTCTCAGTTTGGATTTGTCTTGTTAAAAGCTTTCAGTAGCTGTAGCACATAAGTGATAATTTGTTTAGATTTTAAAGGATAATGCTGCTTTTGGAAATTAAGGAAAATAATATTAAGGAAATAAATTAAGGAAAATAATTAAAAATTATTTCATATAGCATTCTGAAATGTAAATTGATGATGCCTTTCAAAACTGAAAAATTAATGAAGTAATTATATTTCTAGAACTTGTCTTTAAGAAATAGAAGTGCAAAGACACATATACAAGAATGTACTCTGATGCATTGTTTGTAGTAGTGTCAATTTGATAATTAATATAGCCAATAAAAATTCAGTCAAAAGCTCAGGATCTGACTGTAAACAAATATTATGCAGTTGTTAAAGATGATAGCATATGTTTACATTAGTTGGCATGCAAAAACATTCTTTACATATTTTTTTAATGTTGAGAAAATTACAATGCAGTTTAAGATGTAGTCAGTCTCTAAAATACATATTTACATAGATAAATATGCATATACAGAAGGTTGAAATTTCTGAGTGGTGGGATTATGAGTTTTAAAAACTGGGGATGGAAGGGGCTAGAGATATGGCTTAGTGGTTAAGAGTACTTGTTGCTCTTTCAGGGGACCTGGGTTTGGTTCTCAGCACCTGTAACTTCAGTTTCAGGGGATCCAACACCCTTTCTGGCCTCCACACACACCTGCACACACATGGTGCACATAATACACTCAGGCACATACATTTACATATAAAATAAATGTTTTTAAATTGGTGGAGGGGTTGGGGATTTAGCTCAGTGGTAGAGTGCTTGCTTAGCAAGTGCAAGGCTCTGGGTTCAGTACTCAGCTCAAAAAAAATTGGTGGAGGGGAGATGGCTTAGTGAGTAAAGTCCTTACATACAAGGACCTGAATTTGGATCCTCAGAACCCTGGTAAAGCCCGTACACTAGTGTGTCTTTATCCTGATGCTATTAAGGTGAGTTGGAGACAGAGACAGGATAATCCCATGGAAACTAGGTGTGGTGGTTTATGCCTTTAATCCCAGCACAGAGAGATCTTTGTAAGTTCGAGACTAGCCTGACCTACATACTGAGTTCCAGGGTAGTAGGGGCTATGTGGTGAGACCCTGTCTCAAAAACAGCAAAAATAAACCCCACAACAACAAACAAACATACACACAAAAAATCAAGAGGCAATCCTAAACAAGGTGGAAGTTGAGAACCAGCAACAAAATTGTCCTCTGATCTCTACATTCCTACTGTAACACATGTATGGTAGTACTCACACACAAGAACATGCACACATGTGATTGTGTGTGCATGCACACACATATGCATTCGAATACAGATTTAAAAAACAATTAATTGCTGGGCATGGTAGCTCATGCCTATAATCTTATCATTGGAGAGACAGAACTAAGATCATTGTGTATTTGAGCCAAGACTATAGTCTCAAAAAGTCTAAACCCAACAAACAAAAGTGAAAAACTAATAGCTTTATGTGGTGGCAGATGTCTATAATCCCAGGACTTGGTAGGCAGAGGCAACATAAGGGATTTGAGGTCAGCCTGTGTTACAGCAACAACACTACCCTAATTAGAATTAAGCTCATCTGTATTTTCTAATTTTTACATATTGAACATGAGTTATTATTATTATTTTTTTCTGAGACAAGGTTTCTCTGCATAGCTCTGGCTGTCCTGGAACTCTCTGTAAACCAGGATGAACTTGAACTCATGGAGTTCTCTGCCTGTCTCTGCCTCCTGAGTGCTGGGATCAAAGTCAATGCTCAGCTACCCCTTGTCAATTCTTATCCTGCATTTGTGGTCTCAGGCAACTGTTAATCTGCTCTCTAGAATGACGTTTCTTTTCTAAAGGTTCAGATAAATGGAGTCTAATCAGCATGTATTCTTTTGTGTCTTGAGATTTGTCTACATTGTTTCATGTATCAAAGATTCACTACTTATTTTTGCTTAGAACTATTCCATTGTATGGATACAAATGGTTAATTTATTTACTGGTTGGTGGGTTGCTTCCAGATTTGAATCAGTTTGTACAAATTGCTATTAAAGGTCAAGTACAATCTTTGTAGGAATTTGTTTTTCATTTCACAAGGGTTGTTGAATCATATGGTAAGAATATATTTAATGTATTTGAGCTTTTTCAATTTTTAAAATAATTCATGTACATTATGCAAATGTCTGGGATATAGTGCTATCATTTGATATATGCATACAGTGTACTGTTGTTAAATTAGGATAACAAGCATTCCTATTTCCTTAAACACTATCATGTCTTTGTATGGAGAACTTTCAAATTTCTCTCTTCTTGTTCTTTAGAAAAGAATGTCAATTTTATTTTTTAACAAATGCCAAACTTTTGGGCGTGGTAGTGGTGTACACCTTTAATCCCATCACTCAGGAGGCAGAGGCTGTTCTCTGTGAGTTCGAGGCCAGCCTGATCTACAAAGTGAGTTCCAGAGCTATACAGTGAAACCCTGTCTCAAAACAAGTTTTCAAGTTTGGCTTTCTTTCTTTCTTTTTAATTTCCTCTTGTGGGAAAACGAGGCCCAGGGATCTTAAGTCAGATATTATGTTCATGAACATCAGTGCCTTGTGCCTGTGGCCAGGTAGCCTGACGGAGGTCACTGACAGCTTGTGAGAAGGATAGTCTTCCCTCTTTTGAATAATGCCCTTCCTTAAGGTAGACCTCCAGGGAGGTCATCACTTCCTGTCTTGGTAGCTCACATTACCTTGTTCTTACTCATTTTCTTCTTCACTTCTACCCACAGGATCATGTATATGAACTTCTCAACACCATTGATGCCTGCCAGTGCCATTTTGATATCGTAAGAGCATTTGTAACATTTTTTTATTGTAGAAGAAAATGGAAGAAAAGACCAAGCATACACTGAGACGAAGTGTGGGACAGAATTGGACAAATGATTATTTATTTGTTCCTTCTCAGGACTATGGTTCTTTTTTAAAAAATTAAAAAATGTATTTATTTATTGTGTGTATGTAGGTGAGAGGGTGTGTGCATTTATGTGCCATAGCACATGTATGCAAGTCAGAGGAAAATTTGTGGCAGTCAGTTCTCTCTTTCTACCATGTGGGTTTCAAGGGTCAGATTTAGATAGTTAGGCTTGGCAACAAGTGTTTTTTACCTACTGAGCCATTTTGATGGCCATAGGTACTGTAAATCTTTTAAAAAATGTGCTAAGGTTAAATGCTTTTAAATAGTGAGCAGATCATCAATGTAATTTAAATAACACAAAATTATACAGCAATATTTTTATTTCATTTCCTTTAATCCCCAACAATACCTTATTTCCTAGTATCTTTGTATCCTTTTTTGTTTATTGTTCATACTGGGCTTTGAATCTAGGGTCCTGTGCATTCTAGGTAAGAGCTCTACTATTGACTTAAATTCTTACTTTTTTTTTTTTGAGACAGTTTCTCTGTGTAACCTTGGCTGTCCTGGAACTCTCTCTGTAGACCAGGCTGGCTTAGAGATCCTTCTGCTTCTGCTTTCCCAGTGTTGGGATTAAAGGTGTGCACCACTTCCTGGCTCCTACTTTTATTTTTTAACACTACTTTTTTTTTTTCCCCTCAAGACATGGTTTCTCTATGTAACCCTGGCTGCCCTGGAACTTGCTCTGCAGACCAGGCTGGCCTTAAACTCAGAGACCCACCTGTCTCTGCCTTCCACGTGCTGGTTTTAAGGGTGTGTGTCACCATGCTTTTGTGAGAGTCTCACTAATTTGTTCAAGCTGGCCTGAAACTTACTCCATAGTCTGAGCTGGCCTTAAACTTGTAACTCTTCTGCCTCAGTCTCCTGAGCAGCTGTGATTATGGACTAGTGTGTGGCTCCAGGTTCTCCAGTATCTTGAGCTCATATTTAGCTCCTGCTTTTGTTTCAATTTTCTTCTGAAAACATATACTATTGGTTCTAATTCTAATAAACATTGAGTACTGTAGGGGATGGTTGGAGAAGCAGAGGGTGGTCTAGGTTAATACTGATCTGGGGGTTCCTATATATTTCCTTGTAGAATCTCAACTTTGACTTCACTCGGAGCTACCTGGACTTGATCGTGACTTACACCTCAGTCATCTTACTCTTGTCACGGATTGAGGACCGCCGGATACTCATTGGCATGTACAACTGTGCCCATGAGATGCTGCATGGGCACAGGTAACTTAGGAGGAAATAAAGAACTTCACATGTATCAGGTGGTGGTGGCACACCCCTTTAATCCCAGCAGGGAGGCAGAGGCAGATGGATCTCTGAGTTGGAAGCCAGCCTGGTCTACAGAATGAGTTCCAGGACAGGTAGGGCTACACAGAGAAATCCTGTCTCAAAACCCAACCAACCAACCAAACAAACAAAAAGAGCCTCACCTGTGGTGCTGCAAGAAGTGGATGGAGACAAAGGAACTTGATATCATGATTTCTCATATGAAAACCTATAATCCATGTTGTGTCCCAGGCAAAATAAGATACACTTTCACATATAGTTAACTGTTGAATCTCTGCCAGTGGATTATCCACTCTGCATTATCTCTGATCTATTTATAATCCTTGACTGGCTTCCACTTTGCTTCTCAGGTTATTATAAAAGGCAAAGATAATTCTTTTTAGTATCAGTAGGACTAATAACAGTAAGGTTAAGCCATCAGAGGTAAGTAATGTAAGATAATGCATATTAAGGATAATGAATATTTGGAAACCAAATAGAAATGGATGTTGGATTATCTACAATTCTGTCCATTTATTAATGCAATATAAGTATTTAAAGGGTGAAAAAAATGAAGACTGGAAAGGCGAAAGTGAGACACAGAACAATGTCCTGTGTGTGACGTACCTTCCCCCATGTCTGTATGGGTGTCTTGGTACAAGCTTTATCAAATAGATAAGCTTTGGATGATTATCTCCCATTTGGGATTTTCAGGGATTTGGCTCCAGGCATGTTTGATACAGACTAGCAAAAGCAAAATTAGACTAGCTATTATGCATCCAGCCTTGTCTGCCTACAAGGGAGAAACTTCATGGGTCTGTCCAAAACCATGTAGTTTTTTCTTTCTTTCTTTCTTTCTTTCTTTCTTTCTTTCTTTCTTTCTTTCTTTCTTTCTTTCTTTCTTTCTTTCTTTCTTTCTTTCTTTCT